CCTCGCGCACCCCCTAGCGGCAGCTCACGCACCCCCGGGGGTGCGCGCACCACACTTTGGGAATCCCTGTGTTAAACGAAAGGAATTACCTTATGTGTATATAAGGTGTGTAGTCCTCATCACCGCTGTCATCAGTACCGCTGTCCATCTCGATGGTTTCGTCCTCCTCTGAAGACGAATCAACTTCTGTTTCTCTGTTTGGTGACGATGTGTCATCTGATGACTATCCTGAATATACACAATATAAAGTTTTTAGTATGGAAAATTAGACACATTTTATTAACATCTGAATACTTACACAGAGTTTTGAATATTGTTGAACTCTTCCTCGTCAATGTTTGCTTCAATTCCCACACAAGATAACCTAAAAAAGTAATTATCGCTTACTTTTCCTGACAAATATGACAGCCAAATACAGATACAACCTTGTACTTACATTTGTGAAGATCCTTCTTTTTTAGTTTCACCTTGTTCCATCACCTCCTCCAAATTATCATCCCTATGAAAATAAAATACAAGCACAAGAATGATTAGAATCAATACATATTTTGTCATTTTGAAGGTAATAGACCTCGTCTATTGGCCGTCATCATCACCCTCTCCTTATTTTTCTCACTTATTACGCATTTCTCTGTATCCACTGAATTCCTTCTTTACAAATAATTTCCTGTCTCTCTCTTTACATTTTAAAAACACAATTGTGTTATTTTTTTCTCATAAACTTTGAAATAAAAATATAATTTTTTAAAATATGTTTAATTTTGTTGTTGTGAAGTGTCTCAAGAGTTTTATCTTGAGAGGCGCTATATAAAATGTAGTTTTGCTATTTATTTCTACACATTTTTTATAGTCATTCATTATCCCATTTCTAGAATTTTTTCAAAATAATCCACCACTAACTTAAAACAAACAGAGGCAAAATTATAATATTCCTGGTAGAGGTTTTTACGCAGCTATTTACCTTTCAGATGATTCTCCATGAATGCTAGACAGAGCTGGCACTGGTGTTGGAGAAATACACAGTTGGCGCTTCAATGGTGTAGATGTTGATGCTTCATATTTGGACTGATGACTGTAAAAAACAAAGCCCAAAAATTAGTGATCACAAGCTAAGCAAGTCTCCCCAGCCTTCACAGATTTGTGCACGAGCTGATTATAATTACTTTTATTTTAATATGGAGTTTTCACGTAGGTAAGACCACAAACAGACAGTAATCTGTACACGTGGCCCACCCAGGTTAGCACAATATGTCTTTCAGTGCTAATGGAAACGTAAGGTTTTGGATACGTTCCTGATCAATCACACCTAATTCTAACTGCTGAATCATCTCCTCAGACTTCTACAAGTGCTACATGAGCTGCTGATTACTCATTTTAATCAAACACGCAGCTCAGGCAAGTGTAAACACCTAATTCAGCTTTCAAGATGCTAACTGAACCCCGCTAACAGGGAAGTTATAAACAAGAGCTTAAAACAATATACTGATGTGGCCTATAGTTAAACGCCACACTAATCATTAGCTCCCATATAAACAAAAAACTAAAATCCCCTTTCGTTACTCAAACTTCTTCCAAATATAGCATAAATAGTTCGACTAGCATCGATTCATGTCGACTTAGCATTCAAGCTAACGCTACATTAGCCAATAGGACACCAAGCATACAAAGCTTGTTTGCTCTATTACTTCTTTCAGTGAAAGAAAGATTATAAGTAAATTTATCCGAAAAACAATAAATAACTTACCTGTCTAAAAGATACTTTGCCAACTCTTCATCCGTTTTCAGGCCGTGTAGATCACGAAAATCTCTCCATCGTGTGTAAAACAATCTCCAATGTAAATTCTACTTGACTGTCTTAAACGTCTTACAGCCACTTTTGAAGAAGGGCTTTTAAACTTTTTAAATGTTTTTTGAGATGTGGAAGGTAGTCGAGGAATCGGTAATTTGGGGTTTTGTTGCTCCAAGTTTCTGCAGTAAGCCGAGTGAGGCGCGTGACACTATTATGCACGCTGAGATCTGCTCGTGCTCGATGATTGACAGCTGCCCCCTGGTGGAAACGCAGCGCTATTGGTCAACGCGTTAGGCTTGCAGAAATATTGGCTGAGCTCTACAGGGCAGGGGAGGGACTTAAGAGAAAATTGAAATATTAAAGATTATTTACTTTTTTTAAATAAAATTGGGTCAGATGGTCAAAATCAAACATTTTTAAAGTTATTCTACATTTAAATGTTGTACCGTAAATCCTCTAATACAGGCCCGGGCCTGTATTTTACTCAAGCTCATCAAGCTCCAGGCCTTTATTGGAAGGAGGACCAGAATTAGAGGCAGACCTCAATTTCTATTTGAGCAAAATGAACTAATGGTTCGCTGGAGTTTTTGACGATTAAAATTGCGCCCACATTTTCAAAGTTAAACACATTTCTTTTGACAACGGTAGTTTCTGCTTCAGCCCTCTCCCCCCTCCCCCTGCGCAGCGGCTGCAAACTCACTGATGCGCCTGCAGCCTCTCGGAGTTCCTGCTGTTCTAAACATTAAAATAATTATTTCATTTTCTGTTCCTCACTTCTGATTACCTTCAATGGTGTCTGTTTGTTGCAACCACCAGGCACAAAAACTAACTTGTTTTTATTTTACTATTTTTCTGTCCTGTCTGTTTATCATCTTCCAGCATCTCCTCTCAATCCTAAAGAAAAACTGCTACCTGGCTTCATATATATTCACCTTATGAGTTACCTTTGAACTGCAGTTCTAAAAAATCTACCGACCGCAAAAACAGCGGAGTGCGCGCTGCTTGCCGGCCGCATCAGTGATCGGTGCGTCACCGAGAACAAAACAGGTGATGCGCCCCGATCCACAGCAGTGAAACGCATCAGGCGCAAATAAAAGACAGAAAACATTAAAGGAAATGAGCCGGCATGAACGATTGCGTGTTAAATTAGTTTTTGAGGTGGCGACACCTGATTTGATAATGTTACTGTGGCCGTGCTCAGGATGCAGATGTCTGGAGCGCGTCAACAATCAGAGCTTTGCATGCGCAAGCTGGTTAAAGTTAGGATGGGGGTGAGGGGAATGTTAAATTGCAAGAGGGTAAACGTCAGAATTTGGTTAAATGTCCGTTTTATGGCGGGTGTCAGTACCGACGCGCTGGCACAGCTCGTTGCCTCCCGACGCGCAGGAGCTTGTCACCTGCTGACAGCAGGCTGCTGTCTTTTCCGAGGGCTGCATCTTGCCGGTCATTATCACGTGACAGCGACTAGTCGATGACAGGCATAAAAAGTCCCTATAGTGGAGTCGACTAGTTCATACAACCCCTGCTACTGCTCCCCAGTCTTCTGCAGCATAATCAGCACGTTCTCTTTGAACTTGATATCAAATTTTCGCTTCCTCTTCGTCTCCGCACCTGCCAAATCGCGGTCTGTCACTGGCAAATCAAAAGTGAGACCGATGACACAACCCCCCCGTGGTACTTGCGTGTTACCACATTCCACTCGGCCACAATAAAATACCGGCCATTATTCACCTCCGCCGACTCCGACACCGGCCAAAATATGATACCCGGCCGTTAATTGAATACAGGCCAATATTAGAGGATTTACGGTAACTTTGACCAAAACAACTTCAATATAAATCTGGTAATGTGACGCTCAGTGAGCTCATCATGAGCTCATGACATATATGTGGAAAGTGATGTGGTATCTGAGCTAGGATTGCTGTTAAAACAGTCAGATAAAATAACAGTGCTTTAAAATGATTGTTTATTAAATAAAAGCAACAACAATCTGTACTCTCAGCACGCTGCCATCTTATATTAACTGAGCAGGGAGTGAGGTGGTGGGGGCTCCAAGCCTAATTTGCCTTGGTCCCCAAATGCCTTAATACGGCCCTGGATGTGCAGGGTGATCTGATTCTATCACATGTATGAATATTAAATGCTTATATATTATTGCTTTTCACTGGTAAAAATGAGTATTGGGGATAAATCTACCTACTTTATTCTTTTGAAGCACTTTTTTTTTTTGTTGATTTTGTTTGAATAATTTCCGGCCCTTTCTCTCTCTAACCTTCCTGCATGCTGCATGTTTTCTCAGTCTTCCAGAAAAACTGTTTCCTAGATTTCCTACTTTCTAACTAATCAGCCAAAGGGATCTACCGAACGCAAAAAAAAAAAAAAAAAAAAAAAAAAAAAAAAGCTTAATACGCGCTGCGATCCAGCAGCAATGAGTTGAAATCACCGGGGCACAGATTATGAACTCAGCTGAAAAGTACATGAAGTACCAGAGAATATAACGATCGCAAATGAATCACTTTGTTTTGGTGGAGCGATTTTGTGAATGTAACAGAGGCCGCGCGCAGGACGCAGCTGGAGACCGCTGCGTCCTCTCTGCTCATAGAATGCCCGCAAAGCTGAGTCCATAAATGACGTGAATGAATGACGTATATGTGGATGCTGGATCTTTTTTCAGGCTTCCCGCAATTTGAATTTTTAGGAAACCCACATCTTGATTCTGGGTCTAAAAATGCATTGTAATTACCGCGTTACTGACAATTGTACCGAGTAAATATTACCATTTTCTTTCCCTGTAATGCCTTACATTACAACATTACAGCAAAAAGCAATGCATTACAGTAATTAATTACATTTGTACTGCGTTACTCCCAGCTGGACAAAGGTTGATGGTCTTGTTGAAAGAACGAACATCATTGTGATTTATACTGTACAAACTCATACTGAGACAATATAATGAGTAGGAACACAAGACTAATGTGACATGACACCAGTCAGAGATTCCCTAACCCTAACCTAACCCTGACGCTTCTCAATCACAATGTGGTTCCTAATGAAAGTCTAAATTGTAACACTGAAGTTAACTAGAGGGAAACGGTAAGTTATTCACAAAGTACCCACGTGAGTTCTGTATATTTTAGGATACCTGAGTGTTTTACTCCGCTCAGAAGTCCTTGAACCTGAGTGGTTATTCCAGCTGCACTACCTATACCCACCTGCCAGTGTCGCTGTTGGGTTCGGCCGCGGCTCAGGTCAGGTGACTTTGATGCTGCTGACAGCAGACCTCACGATTTACTCTGAACGGTAACCATGAAGATTGTTGAGCTATAGACGTATTACAAGGAGATATTATTTCGCAAGTAACACCCACGTTTTTATCACACAGGTGAGTGATATTGCGAACCAGTTAGAATTACCACTTGTGTTGTTGCTGTTAGCAAAGCTAGCTAGGTGGCTAGCTGGAGCTAATCCCTGCTGGATGCTGCTTGACCTTTAACATCCTCTTTTTATTCTGGCCATCGTTTCTTCGCCACACCGTTGGATAAAGAGTAGCTGCATTAGCTAGCTGTTTTGGGTGAAATTATTTGGTGAGGATCAAACAGAAAGGGAAGACCTTCAAAGTGAATGGACTCCTAGTTAGCATCTCTGAGAGTACTAAATGCTGCAGTTTATGCTTCAGTCTGACAGTTTCAAAGTGTTACAGAAAAGTATCGTGTTTTCATTGCGGTTTTGACTGGTGTTTTGTTAAAAGTTGTGATTAATAATGAATTCATAAATACAAGCCTTAATAAAATGTCCCTTTCTGTTTTCTGAAAGCTGTCAGCATGTCTGAGTTTTGGTTGATTTCTGCTCCGGGAGAGAAGACCTGCCAGCAGACTTGGGACAAAATGATGGCAGCCACCACCCGCACCAACAACCTCTCTACCAACCATAAATTTGGCATCCCAGACCTCAAGGTTAGAAAGCATCGCAACACTTTGCTGTTGACGTTTTGTGCTCCATGAAAGAGCCATTCCACCTATCATTTATTTATAAAACACAATTTTATTTCTATCTCATTTCAAGAATATAGCCCGACCACTTTCAGTTGTACTTACTACATGTATTTTCAAGACCACTCACCATGTGGTCACGGTAAAAAATAAACTGATGGTCCACGTGGAAGGCAGTCTTCACACACATTGGTTACCTGAATGCTGAAAGCTTTGAACCTTAAATCAGCTCAGTTGGACAAGTCCGGTTAGCCGTTTATGTTGCTTTGACGTGGGTTGGGATGTCCTCCTGGAACACTTGATGATATTTCAATGAGGCACCATGCAAAACACACAGGGCCACCTGATTGTTACTGATTAAATCACAGATGTCTGTGTTCAAACCCAGCCCTGCAGACCCCATTTAAAAATGAGCCAAGCCCCAGAACCAATTTGTTTTGTCTGTCTAAAACCAGGTTGGAACACTTGATGTCTTGGTGGGACTGTCGGACGAACTGGCCAAATTAGATTCCTTTGTTGAAGGGTATGTACACTGACTTCCATTCACAATCTTTTTCGTTAACCATGAATCAGAAATCTCAGCACCGCTGACCCTCTGATGCTGCTAGCTTAGCTTTCTTTAACCTCCTTTCTGACTTTCAGGAATTGCACAGGGACTTGAGTTCAGTCAGCAGGCTAAACTTAGCAATTGTCAGTTTGGTGACACATCAGCAGTTCTTTCTTTAGTCCTATTTATGCTGCGTGACTTATGCAATGTGAGTACAATATTTTGGAAATATTGACACCTAAAACTCACACACAGCGACAACTGCCTGAGCTATGCTTAGCTTTCTCTGTGAATATGTCCACTACGATGAGAGAACCTGTTGTTTTTATGTTTTTGTAAGTACATAAGTGGGAGAAAATGCTAGCTTACACGTGTTTGTGATTATACTACATTATTTATAAGTTTGTTTGTTTGTTTATTTTTTATTTCAAACATTAACATTTAAAAAATAAAATAAATAACATAATTTATAACAATCGACATTGTTTGAAATGGAGGTAGGTGGAAGAATGCACTTTTAAGTTAAATGCATTAAATTGATAACTTTCTTCAGATAAGAACATTAGCCTCATTAGAAAACTAATTTGAATTTAAACATAAGTGTCTTAAGAAGCTTTCAGCCATCTAATGTGACCTGGCTTCAGTTTTCACGGATGCTTTGACATGTTTCTGAGCAATGTTGTTAAAAACTATGACCTCTGAAGTCAGACGTATTATAAATAGCCTTGTCAAGAATTAACATTCATAGAAATGTGTGAACCCGTTTTATGCCTTTGCCTGTTTGTGTCATATTTGATGGCATCAGGCTGCAGTTGCAGGTTGGGCTTCTGCAGCCTGCAGCTCATGGGGGGCACCTTACAGTGCTGTGAAAAACTATTTTCTCCCTTACTGTTTTTGCTTATTTTAATCTCACTTAAAAGTTTCAGACCTGGAATCTGCAATTTCAATACCAGACAAAGATACCTTGAGTGAATCCAAAATCAATTTATGAATTGGAAAAAACAGCCTAGACTCCTTGCTCCGCTTGTTAAATCATGAATTAAGTGTGATTCATTCCATTGTTTGGAGAGCCTTATTCTGTCCTACCAGTCACTGCCAGACCTGATTACTGCCAGAAACTTGGAGTCAAGAAAAATTTCAGGATGAGCTGTCTGACATTGTCTGTTCTTAAATGAACAAAAAGACCCAAAACAGCAAGGACCAGGACCACCGACTGTAACTGATGGAACCAACTCTGCTCTCTAGCAGAACATGGAGAACATCTGATCCTTGACCTTAACCAGCTGTTCATGCTTGAAAACTCTCTGATGTGGTGATCTGATGATCATCCTGAAATCACTTGAAAATTAGGTTTTGTATATTTAGTCAGGTTACCGTTGTCTAATATCGAAATGTGACCTTTTAGGTGTGATTAAAAACAAAGATTTTATAAGATAATAAACAGAAAAAAATGGCTGTGAGAGGCCATTCATTTTTCACAGCAGTGCACATTAATGGTTCCTGTTTGTTGACAGTGTGGTGAAGAAGGTGGCCCAGTATATGGCCGATGTTCTGGAGGACAGTCGAGATAAAGTGCAGGAGAACCTGTTGGCCAATGGAGGTACAGTAGGAGTTTTCATGCTTTCTGACCTTATTAATACTTATTAAGAGGATTAATGGTGCAAAGTGGACTTGGACCATTTGAAATGTGTTTCTATTTAAGTAAAAGTTATAATTGGTTATACCCTTACTCGAAGATAACTGATGGAAGACCCCGTGGCAATCTTCTGCGCCTCTCGAGAGGGGGCTGGGGCTTTTCTGGTTACAGTCTCCCTGGGGTCCCTGTGCTCTCGGGCAGCTCCTGGATCTCTGGGACTTGGAGCTCCCTCCGTCTCCTGCACATCTTTGGGGGCAGATCTGTGGCCCCTCACACTCTTTATTGGATGCTCCCATAGAGAAACCTTACATACAATGGTGTGAAAAACTATTTGCCCCCTTCCTGATTTCTTATTCTTTTGCATGTTTGTCACACAAAATGTTTCTGATCATCAAACACATTTAACAGTTACTCAAAGATAACACAAGTAAACACAAAATTCAGTTTTGAAATGATGGTTTTTATTATTTAGGGAGAGAACAAAATCCAAACCTACATTGCCCTGTGTGAAAAAGTAATTGCCCCCTGAACCTAATAACTGGTTGGGCCTCCCTTAGCAGCGATAACTGCAATCAAGCGTTTGCGATAACTTGCTACGAGTCTTTTGCAGCGCTCTGGAGGAATTTTGGCCCACTCATCTTTGCAGAATTGTTGTAATTCAGCTTTATTTGAGGGTTTTCTAGCATGAACCGCCTTTTTAAGGTCATGCCATAGCATCCCAATAGGATTCAGGTCAGGACTTTGACTAGGCCACTCCAAAGTCTTCATTTGGTGTTCTTCAGCCATTCAGAGGTGGATTTGCTGGTGTGTTTTGGGTCATTGTCCTGCTGCAGCACCCAAGATCACTTCAGCTTTAGTTGACGAACAGATGGCCGGACATTCTCCTTCAGGATGTTTTGGTAGACAGTAGAATTCATGGTTCCATTTATCACAGCAAGCCTTCCAGTTCCTGAAGCAGCAAAACAACCCCAGACCATCACACTACCACCACCATATTTTACTGCTGGTATGATGTTCTTTGTCTGAAATGCTGTGGTACTTCTACGCCAGATGTAACGGGACATTTGCCTTCCAAAAAGTTCAACTTTTGTCTCATCAGTCCACAAGGTATTTTCCCAAAAGTCTTGGCAATCATTGAGATGTTTCTTAGCAAAACTGAGACGAGCCCTAATGTTCTTTTTGCTTAACAGTGGTTTGCGTCTTGGAAATCTGCCATGCAGGCCATTTTTGCCCAGTCTCTTTCTCATGGTGGAGTCATGAACACTGACCTTAACTGAGGAAAGTGAGGTCTGCAGTTCTTTAGAAGTTGTCCTGGGGTATTTTGTGACCTCTCGGATGAGTTGTCTCTGCGCTCTTGGGGTAATTTTGGTCGGCCGCCCACTCCTGGGAATTGAATTTCTTTGGATCTTGGCATGATGTCTAGCTTTTGAGGTGCTTTTGGTCTACTTCTCTGTGTCAGGCAGCTAATATTTAAGTGATTTCTTGACTGAAACAGGTGTGGCAGTAATCAGGCTTGGGGGTGGCTACAGAAATTGAGCTCAGGTGTGAAACACCACAGTTGGGTTATTTTTTAACAAGGGGGGCAATTACTTTTTCACACAGGGCAATGTAGGTTTGGATTTTGTTCTCTCCCTAAATAATAAAAACCATAATTTCAAAACTGCTTTTTGTGTTTACTTGTGTTATCTTTGACTAATGGTTAAACGTGTTTGATGATCAGAAACATTTTGTGTGACAAACATGCAAAAGAATAAGAAATCAGGAAAGGGGCAAATAGTGTTTCACACCACTGTACAAGCGCGTGTACACACACAGGTGCTCACATGGTGCTGTCATAAGTATGGACTTGGGCATGTTCAACACATGTCAAGGCTGTGGTTGGCACTAAATGCACAGAGTTATTGTTGTGTGATTGTTCAGTAAAACAATGTTTGATTTTATACTTCCTCATCAGGTTGACGCGGGATAGCTTACTGTTTTTGTATTGTTGTGTGTCCTTTTTTTTTGTTTGTTTTTTCTCTTTCTGCAGGTGCAGACCCCTGTTTGTCATTGATTGTTTATTTTTGTGGAAACCCTCCCCAACCTTCCTTTTGTCTCTCCCTTTCTCTTTCACCTCTGTCTCAGTGTCTGGTCAGAATTATAAATCATTCAGAAGACAATAACAATAAAGTTTTAAGTATCAGGCGTGACATTAAAACCAGAAGCTTTGATGCTCCACCTGAGAGTAAATCTGTAAGGCTTGTCACCAGCATTCAGACATCAATTCTGTTTGCTTCACAGCCAGACAGAACACGAGAAGGAAAAAAAAAAAGGAAATGTTGTAAAGCTCTGGGAAATCTGACTTGGCAAGTTTAAACTTTTCCTTATGTTTGCCTTGAGATGTACTGAGAAGCATCCTGTCCGCTCATTGGTCAGTCAATGAAATCTCCGCTGATTGGTTCTTGTCTGAGCAACAGCAATGAAAAGTAGAAATTTTTCAACTTTCTGGGATCATGTCGCTGACTTGCCTGTGCATGATACATGCACAAGCGCAAATTTTCACATGCACATTTTCACGTCGCTTAGCAGGAGGGATACCCACGATTATCACTTTGTCGTGCATGTCTCATGGAAAATGAATAGAGGAGAGTCGATGTTGCCTGCTGTGGGTCGAGCCCATACGACAACCTTACTCGTCGCTATGTCAAAGCTGTCATCATGATCGCTACGGCTTCACTAAAACCAAAAATGTATTTCATACATAGGCATGAGTGACGACACGCCCACAGTTGCTCTGCTTCTCTGTCACTCAACAGAGAGAAGTAGAAAAGCCTCTTACTCGATATACTGCGATACAGCAACACTCTTGAACTAAAAGTCGCTAGTTTTGGCCCTTTGGAGAAATAAATCCTTACTTGGGTCTAACAAATTGGTAAATCTAGCAACAAAGACAGATGGAAACACTGGGAAGCAAAACTTTTCTAAGGGAATATGCAATCTGATTGGTTCGTAGCGTCTCACGCTGTGCCTGCTGGATGCAGAAATGAAAGCAGGCTGCCCAATATTGCCCGTTGAAGGCAGCTGAAAACAGACATTCCCACATTTATCCACAAGGAACGAAAAACATTTTCCAGGACAACTCAACTGTTTCCAGGAAATGTAACTTTTTTGCCCATTTTCCATTTGTTTTCCATGACTGGAAAATTGGTCTATCATTTTCCAGATTTTCCAGGATTCGTGAGAACCCTTACCATACCATATTTATTTATAAAGCACCATTTCAAAATAGCATGGCAGCTAACCAAAGTGCTGTACATAAAAAAGCCAAATGCTTGAACAAGAAACACAATAAGAACAGGCAAAATACATAAGAACAAAGCATAATAAATAGTCAGAGATGAAAATTCCTACTAAAACAATAAAATAGGAGAACAGTTAACAGCACTATAAAAAATAAAATAATGCGACTAATGATAAAAACATTTCAAATGGCACAAAGGAAACGAAATAAGCTACCAGATGGTACGTACGAGGTGCCAAAAGTGTGCAACTGAATCATAAAAACAGAATAAAAAAATTAAATCCGGTGCTAGATGTTCATGAAAAGTGTCACAGAGGGAAGGCAATGCTAAAGGAGTGCGTTTTCAGGGCCGACTTGAAACTGCTAACAGAGGGAGCCAGAACCATGCTTCTCCCCTCTTTGAATAGCATCATCTGATCAGAGAACTTCCTGACACGTGTTCTATTATCTGTTTTCCAGTTGATCTTGTCACTTACATCACAAGATTTCAGTGGGACATGGCAAAATACCCAATAAAACAGTCTCTTAAAAACATCTCTGAAATCATCTCAAAGGTAAATCTGTCAGGGGAATTTAATAAAGCAACATACTCAGCCTTTCTGTCTGTCAGCATCTTCTTGTTTTCTATCTCATGAGGTTCATCACAGTTCTCAGACAATGTCATAACCAGTTTTTGTGGCTTTTCAGCAAGTAACCCAGATTGATAATGACCTGAAGGGCAGAGCATCGGCCTATAATAACCTCAAGGGAAACCTGCAGAACTTAGAAAGAAAGAACGCGTAAGTGGAGTGGGGGTGGGGGAGAAGTCTGTGATGGATAGGTTGTGTGATTACAGCTTATTTTAATGCCATGTGTTGGTACCATGATAGTCCAGTTTCTGGCTTATTCTTGCCATTTTCAAAATGTGTCATTGTAACACTGCTGTGTACCACCAGGGGGAGCCTGCTGACCAGGAGTCTGGCTGGCATTGTAAAAAAAGATGATTTTGTACTTGATTCAGAGTACCTCATCACTATGCTGGTGGTCGTACCAAAGTGAGTGTAAATGATCCCTTCTGTCTCACTAAATATGCCAACTTTAACAATCTGCTGAATTCTGTGATGTTCTGCTCTTTCAGAACAAATTATACAGACTGGCAGAAAACCTATGAAACGTTGGCCGAGATGGTGGTTCCTCGCTCTTCACAGTATGTTACACACTTGGATAAATAAAGGAAATGATGAAGCTGAACTTTTGATTTATCGCTCATCTGTCCTTGCAGTCTGCTGTTTGAGGACCTTGACAGCGGGCTGTTCAGCGTCACTCTGTTCAGGAAAGCCATCGATGATTTCAAACATAAAGCCAGAGAGAGCAAGTAGGATAAAAAGACTTTCTGTTGGATCTCAGAAGTCATTAAAATACCTTCAGTTAAATATGCAGGTGTGTTTGGGATCCCATGAAGCTGATTTGTGTTCTTTTAGGTTCACGGTGAGAGAGTTTCAGTACAATGAAGAGGAGATGAAGGCTGATAAGGAGGAGATGACCCGGCTGTCCACAGATAAGAAGAAGCAGTTTGTAAGTGAACCAAACGCAGAGGAAGTTCTTTAACCCTCTCAGGCTCAGAATAAGTTTTGATAAAAGGACGAACAACTAAGTCCTTCAGGGGTACTTCTGAGTTAAAAAATGCTCATGAAATACGTATGTGGAGTAACCAGGTAGGTAGGTTTTAACATTGCAAATCTGCAACGCCTGCCTCCAGAGGATTAAGTTTTGTGTCAATAGATCAGCATATTTCTGGAAGAAGTTTGTGTTCATGTTTATTTACTCTGTGTTGGGTTTGGATATAAAGTCACACTTTGTGTGTGCTCACTAGTTTTATTTAATTTTTTTAGTATAAATCCAGCCTTTAAGGCTATTTAACTCATTCACTGCCAGTGACGACCAAAGTCGTCATTTGCATTTTTATACTGTGTGGGCATTGGAACGAGCCGCCGCACCGTGAGAACAAACATCACAGCTCTAAAGCCGATCTTCATCCGCGTACGTCACATGTCATGTGATCAGGAAGCACAAAATCCATGTGTTAGATCGTTTAGGGCCGCTGCTGTAAAAAAAAAGTGAGGCACGAACCGGAAAAGCTTCTGCCGATCACAATTTAACAACAGGTTATGAAAGAACGGATAACGCTCAAAACACATGGATTCTTCCTGATTGTAAGAGGTGAGTCTCTGCTTTGTTTAGTTAGTTTTGGCGTCAACATCATCCTAGGGCGCAACATTCTGTGACTCTAAAAAAACCCAATAAAAATGCTGAAAAACGCTGGCTGCGAAGGGCTTTTCTGGTCAGGAAATGGCTGGCAGTGAATGAGTTAAAAAAACTGTTCCACATAGAAGGTTTGAAACAGGTGTGCATTTTTTATTATTAAACAAGGTTCTTTTTGCTTCGGACATGAAGGTGTTTCGAGTTACCTTTTACTTACATGTTTCGACCATCGTCTGCGGTCTGCATAAGAAATGTCACAGGTGTTTGTGTGACGCGTCTTTATCAGCTGTTCTTCTGGCGGGCGCGACCAACCCGGATCTGTCAGATCTGCCGGGTTGGTCGCGCCCACCTCTGCTGGCTGGTCTTTGGAGAAGGGAATCCCAGGTGCAAGACGGCTGATAGGCCCCCTCGTCTCTTTTCGTGCTTCAATGTTCCCGTTTCCTTATTTCTATTGCCTCCTTGACCCAACGTTTGAACCGGTTGTTCTCCGCGTTGATAATTTTCCCTTGATCCCAGTCCAAGATGTGATTATTTCGTTTGCAGTGATCTGAGATGGCTGACTTGAGGGTTTGCTCCTCTGCTTTTTTCTTTGTTGTCCTTGTGAGTCTTTCTGTTGTTTCCTTCTCGCATTCCTTCTGGTGCTCTTTTCTTCTTATGTCATATGTTCTGCCGTTTCCTCTATGTATGTGTTATTGCACAACATGCATGGTATTTCGTAGATTACATTGCATTTCTTGTCTGGTTCTATTTTGTCCTCGGGGTGTACTAATAGCTGTCTGAGTTTCATGTGAGGTTTAACGGTTGTGTTGATTTGCCGTTTTTTCATGGCCCTTTGTATACGTTCTGTGACTCCCCGGATATATGGAATTGTGATGGTGTGCGTGTGGTCTGGTCCTTGTTTTCTTCCCGTTTGCGATCTGTTTCCTCTGTAATGAAGCTGGTCCATTTGTACGATGTTCTGACTACTGATAGTTTGTGTGCCGTTGGGTGTTCAGATGTCCAAAGCAGATATTGGTCTGTATGTGTGGGTTTTCTATATATTGTGATTTTTATGCTGCCGTCGTCTATGTGGTGAATGTTCATGTCTAAAAACGCTATTGTTTTGTTTGTTTCCTCATCATGTGTGAATTTTATGTTTCCTGTGTTGTCGACCGTTTTCCGGTGGTCTGTGAGTTGTTGTGTGTGTCCAGTTTTTATTATTTACAAGATGGCGTCCAGTCCATGTATCTTCTCCAGAACATGGGTCTGATGTGGTTAGGTGCTGTGTTAAATGGCCTGTTCTTCCAAATCCTCCATGAAGAACTCGTTCATTATGGCTGAGAGCGGGTCTCCCATGGCAAAACCTTCTTTTTGTCTGCATATTTTATTTTTGTACTGAAAATATGTGACGAGGGGGCCTATCAGCAGTCTCGCGCCTGGTATTCCCTTCTCCAAAGACCAGCCAGCGGAGGTGGGCGTGACAACCCGGCGGATCTGACACCAGAAGAACAGCTTATGAAGACGTGTCACACAAACACCTGTGACACTTCTGAAGTAGACCGCAGACGACAGTCGAAACATGTAAAAGGTAACTCGAAACACCTTAATGTCCGAAGCAAAAAGAACCTCGTTTAATATTTAAAAGGAGGACATAATGAACATTGTAAAGCAGGTGTGCATTTTCCTTTTATTACAGTTCCTGGTATTATTAAAGGTGCATTATGTAGAGGAAAAAAAAAGTAAAAATTACATCCTGTGGTAAAATGTGGTTACTGCAACCACTTCAAGCGACCCTGGAAATTTTTGCCAGCCGTCGTCACAATTACAATTGTCAGTGCGGCAGTATTAGCTTGCAGGAGACACGGCAACCCCACACTCACTGATAGTAAACCGTAGTTACTTCCCTCCTTCCTTTGTTTTGAAAGGAGATTAACTGACAATCCCCGCAGCCAGCAGGATGTGAAATATGTTTCAGTATAACCCTCCTTCCTAAATGACTGAAACATGAGACTCTTTTGGGATTTTCTCATTATAAAATTCTCACTATATTCTTACATACTGCACCTTTTAAGGACCAATTTAATATTTATTATGTTTAGTGAGGAATGGGCTTGGGTCATCATACAATAAAAACCTAGTTTTGGTAAATGGCCTGTATTTGGATAGCGCCTTCTTATGGTTCTACAACCCCCCAAGGCACTTCACAACACAGTCATTCACACACACATTCACATGCTGGTGGGGATAAGCTATGATTTAGCCACAGCTGCCCTGCGGCGCACTGACAGAGGCGAGGCCTGCCGAACACTGGTGCCACCAGTCCCTACGACCACCATCAGCATTCAAGACGGGTTAAGTGTCTTTTCCAAGGACAGAACAGTGTCCTTAGTCGGAGGAATTGTCTCTTTACATTTAGCATAATTTAATCATAAATAATTATTTCTTGTCCCTTTACTTTCTGCAGGGGCCACTGGTTCGATGGCTGAAGGTGAACTTCAGTGAAGCTTTTATCGCCTGGATTCACATTAAAGCACTAAGGGTCTTTGTTGAGTCTGTTCTAAGGTACTGGTTAGACAAAATTCAATTCAATTCCAGTCTATTTATGTAGCGCCAAATCACAACAAGAGTCGTCTCAAGGCACTTCACATAGTAAACATTCCAATACAGGTCAGTTTGTTAAGCCAGTCAGTAACAAGTTTCCTATATAAGGAACCCAGCAAATTGCATCGAGTCACTGACTAGTGTCAGAGTCTTTACAGCAATCCTCATACTAAGCAAGCATGCAGCGACATGGAGAGTAAAACTCCCTTTTAACAGGAAGAAACCTCCAGAAGATCCTGGCTCAGTATAAGCAGCCATCCACCATGACTCACTGGGGATCGAGAAGACGGAGCTCGCGCGCGCGCACACGCACACACACACACACTCACCAAGTAATTTTTCTATGGTTACATTGTGATTTCTTAGTAAATATTCTATTTGGTGAGAGATAAACTTTATTGTGTTTATCCTAGTGAAGCTAGTAAACTAGTAGTAGCACATTCAATGTCAAAGAGAGTAAAATGTTATTGTAAGGAGAGGGAGAATGTTTTAAGTTGTTAGCAGCAGTGTGCTGGCCGATAGCCCCCTCCATAAGGCCACCACAGGTCAGCAAAACATCATTGTAGCTTCATCTGCGGAGAAAAACACTTAAGAGAAAAAATAAAGTTTACAGCTAAAATAGCAGGAAATAATACAGTTAAAGAGCAGATTGTAGAAGAAAGTAGTCGAGTGTGGAACGTGGTCAGTATGTCCTCCAGCAGTCTAAGCCTATAGCAGCATAACTACAGAGATAACTCTGGATAACCTAGCCTTTTAGATGGAGGCAGGGCAAGAGAGAGCCGTCTTTACCGACTGCACACTCAACCTCTCTCTACTCCCCACTTGTCCAGATCTGGGTTAACATCAGATTTTAACCATAGGCCCTATCAAATAAAAATGTTTTAAGCCTAGTCTTAAACGTAGACAAGGTGTCTACAAGGACAAAACAGTCCTCTCCATCTGTTTGTAGCAATCAGATCTGAAGAAGAAGAAACAGATCTTTATATAGTGCCTCTAAAGATGAAAATCTCGATGCGCTTAACAAGACCAAAAAAAAAAAAAAAAGATGGTGTCGTTCAATGGCACAGTGACTAAACATGTAGCAAGAAGGTTTTGGGTTTGCGTCCCGGCCTGGGGTCTTTTTGCATGGAGTTTGCATATTCTCTCTGTGCATGTGTAGGTTCTCACCGAGTACTTTGGCTTCCTCCCACAGTCCAAAAACAGTCTGACTGTCAAGTTAATTGGTCTGTTTAAATTTAACTTAGGTGTGAGTGGGTTACGGTTAAGGTTAGGACTGGCAATGAACTGCCAGTTGCGATCGACTGCAGTGTTTTCCTTACATAGGCTCAGGCGTAGCGCTGCGCCACGGCTGAAATTTCAGCACCATGTCTATGAGACCCCCCGCCCCCCCCCCCCCCCCCCCCCCCCCACACACACACACAGACACACACACACAGACGCATGGAAAGGAAGCGCTCCGTAGACAATGACATCATCCACCACTCTAATGGACAACGCACGGCATTTCTCAAAAGTCCTGGTCTGGATCCCACCAATTTTGATGATCTTCTTCCAATATCTAAATTACCATTTATCTCCAAAATTCTTGAAAAAAAGTTGTTGCTTTTCAGCCTCACTCTTACCTCAATTTTCATAGCCTCTATGAACAATTCTAATCTGGTTTCAGACAACTACATAGCACAGAGACAGCAATGGTAAAAATCACTAATTATCTACTAATAGCAGCAGACTCAGGCCTTCTCTCCATTCTTGTTCTAGTAGATCTCAGTGCCGCATTCAATACGAACTCTAATAACATACTTCTCAAAAGATTAGCATCTATCGGCACTAGTCACATCCCACTAGCCTCGTTTACCTTATAACTTATCTGATCATACTCAGTTCATTCAACTTCAGTCTCATTTTTCTGCTTCATTCCCGATTTCTGCAGGAGTTCCCCAAGGCTTTGTTTTGGGGCCCCTCTTATTTATCATCTTCTATCTGCTTCCCCTTGGTTACATTTTCCGCAAATACAACAATAATTTTCACTGTTATGCTGACGACACCCAGCTGTACATTTCCTCTGATCCAAATTCACCCCTTCCACCGATCTCCCTCTCTGTCTATTAGAGATTAGATCTTGGATCTCGTAATCTATTTAACTAAACGGCAATAAAATGGAACTCCTACTCATTGGCACTGCTTTGGTTTTAAACAATGCTCCCAATCTCTCTATCAATATTGACAACTGCACGGTTCACCCATCTCTACAGGTAAAACGTCTTGGTGTCATACTAGATGGTACACTTTTAGTCAAATCACATATTAACCAGGTTACTTGGGCCGCATATTTCCATCTACGCAATATCAACAGATTCCGTCCTTTTCTCACGCCTCATGCTGCTGCAATCCTCGTTCATAGCCTCATCACTTATCGCATCGACTATTGTAACTCCCTTCTATTTGGTCTCCCAGCTAAATCCCTTCATTATCTCAAACTTCTCCAGAACTCTGCAACATGCATCATTACTGGTACCCCCTCAAGAAATCACATCACTCCTATTCTTAAAAAACTACACTGGTTACCAAAAGAAATCAGAATCAAATACATGATCTTAATACTAATATTTAAATCTATCCATAACATGGTTCCACAAAAAATACAATCAATGATGAACAAGAGTCTGCTTCTAGACCTGCAGAAGGAGAAAAAAAGGAAAGAAAAGGCACACACAATTCAACAGGAGCAAACTATCACTGCGTCAACCTGATGAGAAAATATAAAATCAATATTGTTTTACTGAACAATCACGATAATAAATCACAGTGCATTAAGTGCCAACCACAGCCTTGAGACGTGTTGAACATGCCTATGTCCATACTTATGAGAGCACCATGTGAGCAACTGTGTGCGTTCCCACGCTTGTATATGTAAGGTTTCTCTATAGGAGCGACCAATAGAGTGTGAGGGGCTACAGATCTGCCCCCCAAAGATGCTTAGGAGATGGAAGGAGCTCCAAGTCTCAGAGATCCAGGTGCTGCCCCAGAGTGCAGGGATCCCAGGGAGACTGCGACCAGAAAAACCCCTGCCCCCCTCGAGAGGCGCAGAGGATTGCCCCGGGTGGGCTACAACCAGCAGCCGGCAGAGGTCCGGGGGATATCGGCGGCAAGCCCACAGGCCCGCCCGCAGCCTCCCACCCCCAAGCCGGCCGAGCCCGGAACCCAGCGACCCAGGACCCAGGGGCGACCAGCTCTGCCGGGGACCCAACAGAGCCCAGGGACTCAGATCCCACCAGGCAGCCACCGGGATTAATCAGGCAGACGCCAAAAATCTTAAACACCCTGACCCGGGAGCCGCGAACACTCAGGCAGACCAAGGCAACACACTCCACACCTAGTGTGGCAGGGGGAGGGGAGATGAAGATGTATAGCAGCAAAAGAAGTCTCAGGAGAGGGAGGAGTCAAAAGGCCCCACCTGACATATACAGTCATAAACAAACACAGTCACACACTCCCTCATGCTAACATATACACATACAACCTAAGACATAAAAATTGCACTCCAGACACCCACTCATGCTCCCCATATACACCCTATCCACTCTGGTCCCTGTACTGCTGCACAAAGGTACAATCATCTTTCGACCCTTTCTGCTCATGAGCAGCAAAGCGACTCACCACGCCAGATCCCCATCCTATCCTCCAGCCCCGGGAAGCCAAGTGACAACAAGTTACCAAAAGAATGACCGCAATGAGTTTGTCATCATAAGACGCACTACATAAGAAAGCTGCATGAGTTTCTGCTCGTTAAACAACAATAGACATCTATACCTAATAAGCTCTACCCTCCCATCTTCCACTTAGTTGTGACAAAGCTCCTTGGATGAGAAGCGGAACGTTTTTAGGAAACCAAAAAAAGTCCAGTCCTTCATTTGAAACCTTTTGTATCACCATGACCTGGATGAATGAGAATCTTCACCAGCATATATAAAAAGCCTTTTCTTCTTTTTTATTCAGGTATGGGCTCCCAGTGAACTTTCAGGCAATGCTGCTGCAGCCAAACAAGAAGACCATGAAGAAGCTGAGGGAGGTGCTCGATGATCTGTACAAACATCTGGACAGCGGCGCAGCAGCCATTATTGATGTGAGTGTTTAGCTAACACTATGAAACAACATAGAGTTCTGATAGCAGCGTGACATTCACTTCTCAGTAGAGTCTGTGGTGGAGGAGAATCATTGTGTAAGTCATTAGTATAGACCAGGAGGGATATGTGCCAGTTCCGGCCTGGCACCCTCCAGTGCTGCCTCTTGATCCACTATGATGTGTCTAACATTGGTCCTCCAGCATGTTTTAGAGTTTCCCTGCTCCAACACACCTGACACTGGGACAGACTTGAGCCATGGCATACCAAACGTGGTAATGTCTGTTATAAATACAGATAGGGCCGCTTCATTCTAGAAAAATATGTGTCATCCCAATAATTGTATTAATACTGAAATCAGCTGTTTAAACTGTTATGGGAAAAACTCTTCAGTTAAAACTTTAACAAAACTTCAATAAGAATATTTTTCCACTCATCTTGTCTGTTTTGCCCTTGTTCTGCCAGGTATACTTGCCCTAACTTAAAAAACAACACACCAGAATGTTAATCCAGTCTTCAGATGAGGTGGAGTGCAGTCATGTGGATGTATTTCAAAGTGAGAAACATGCATTTATTATCACTCAGATTAGTACTCCAACGTAAAGGGATTGGTGCACCCTCCACTACCCATCATGGTGTTTTTACTTGCAGTGGGAACAAAAATACAGATGAATATTCAATTTAAAACAATCTTAAATTATTCAGATGAAAATGTTAAAAAAAATTTTTTTACTGCATATAAAATATTATATAAAAACATATTTGCTTTTGTCTGGGGGCCAAAATCGGTTTCTGGAGTATTTCCCAGTTGAAACTCTTGATGTTACACAAATGTTAGTTTTGGATCAGATTCAGTTTCTGCATCATCAGAGTCAATGAACCTTTAAAACTAGAACAGAGAAACAATCGTTTAGTCTTTCTGCTTAACGTTCTTTGTGATAATGCGAAAAAGCCGTGAGAAACACACTTTAGCATTTCTCCTGTTGCCATATTTGATTACTGCAATTTTTACTTTGTTTAAATTATCAGAATTTAATCACACGAATGAAGTGAGGGAATCATTGTTCCTCAAATCCAATACAAGAAGGAAAAAGAAAATAAACATAAATATCTAATTAATAAATATTTAGCCAGGAAGAATTTTTGGAAGTCCAAGTGTTCAGTAGGTACGTGTGTTCATTAAGCCTTTACAGGGCCAATATTTATAGGGGTGCACGTTGCTGTTCGACCCGCAACATGCAACCCAACAAATGCTACATAAAACAACCAGCTTGGTGGTGGGAAGTGTGTGTTCACCCTAACGTTACCTGAAAAATCATGATTTTCATTTTGGGTGTGTTAGTTTTGCGTGTGTTCATTACGTGTGTATTCATTGAGTGTATTCATTACATGCATAATTAACAAACACAAAAGGAACACACCCAAACTGAAAATGCTTCCAGAATGACAAACTAATTGGATCTGTTGTCATAACAGTAAAAAAAAATTAGAAATAAAACTATTAGAATTGTTGTGACAACACATCCAATATCTGTGTAATCCCTGAAGCATCTTTAGAAATTAATGGATGTGTGATTTTTACCAAAAATCTTTAACTGGCAAAAAATGAAAAAATATATAAAAGGAGAAAAAACTTTAAATATAACTAACAATGTCAGACCAAAGTTCACTGAGGGCAACGCGCAATAATGAACAATGGAGTTTTTGGTAAACAAGTAATAACTGTTCCTAGATTCTCAAAGTTAAAACAACTTTCTCTTAAGACCAGTATGTTTTGCATCTTTAATGTTCCCCTTCCTCCTACCTGAATAATTATAAGAAATGTTTTGTTTTCCAACTTTTGTTTTTCTTACCATACCATACTATTTTCTTTAAACCGCACATTTAAAATACAGCATGAGAGCTGAACAAAGTGCCTTACACAAGGTTGGAAACAAGCCGAAGATAACATTTAAATAAAATAAGATAAAATCGGACAACAAAATTCAGGAACAAGTGATTAAAAAACAATTCAATATGATTAATCAAATCAACTATAAGATTAATTAAAACACAACGATAAAAACAGTAGCTCAAAACCAGTAAAAGCAAGCATAAAATAAATCATTATCTAAAAGCCAAGTCATAAAAGTGAGTCTTCAGTCTAGACTTGAAAATGAGACCATTGAAGACTCTTGTATGATGAGAGGTAGTGCATTCAAAAGGTGAGGAGCAACGTACACAAAAGCCTGCTCCCCTCTTGCCTTTAGATCATTTTGGCCACACTTTATAGCAGGGGCGGCGTTAGGCCCGGCTACTTGGGCTGAAGCCCCGGATCTTTCATGATAAGCCCCGGATCTAAATCGCGGAAGTAACATGCAGTACCAAAGTCACACAGAGAGGGCGCAGCTGGCAGTAGTTTGTAAAGTCCCATTTAGTCGTCACACACACAGGTGTGTGGTGAAATTTATTCTCCGATTTTGACCCATCCCCTGAGTTGCAGACACGCCGCGCTCGGGAACTATTTGGTGGTTTAACCAACCCCAATCCAATGCTGAGTGTCAAGCAGGGAGGCATTGGGTCCCATTTTTCTCAAAATCTTTGGTATGACCCGACCAGGAGTCGAACCCCTGATCTCCCGATCTCAGGGCAGACACTCTACCACTAGGCTACTTAGTCAGTATACAGTTTACCTGAGACTGAAGAGAAGCCCTTCAGCAGCTGGCTTCTGCAGTCTCTGAAACGCATGAGTGAAGATGGATATAAGGACGTTTTTTAAGACCAAAAGTACAACGACAGAACCCCAGCTCTGATGAGACTGGTGTTGACTCAGGTTTGTGAGTCTTATTTGAAAATATTTGTTGTGCTGCTGGTTTGCCTAAAGTTAGCTTACTATCAGGTAAAGTTGTTGGAGAAAGAAAGGGAATATTTACTATCATCTCACACTAAACACTAACAGGAACAATACTCTGCCCTGAATATGCTGAATATGTAGCTTCAGATTAAACATTATGTGGTACAAGACAAATATATATGATGTTGACTAGTGCGTGTCACGTGTGTGCGCGCATGCGCGTGCGCGCGTGTGTGTGTGTGCGCGCGCGTGTGTGTTAAGCCCCGGATCTTCTTCAGTCCTAAATCCGCCCCTGCTTTATAGCGTGACGACTGCAAATGAATTATGACCAATAAGATGGGATGATTCCATATAAATTTAAAATGTCAATCTGATTGATCTTTGAATGTTTAGTCAGAAGATTATAGTTACTTTTACTTGCTCAGGGACCATAAACACACTTCGTATTGATTTAGACAGTCAAGTATATAGTTAAAAAGGAACTTTATTCTTTTCTAAACTAATGATTATACATGGCAAGATATGAATAATGAGATTGATGGAGTGGATATGCGGTGATGGTATGTGATGTGTAGGTTTCATTTAAACATCTTGTTCATTAGGGTTGGGCATCGAGCATCGATTGGAACCGGTTCCAACTGTTAGTTTTTCCCGGAATCGTTCAAAGTTTTTTTTTTCGATTCCTAGTTCCTAGAATGCCGACGGAAGAGAAATCCGTGGCTGATCTCCGTGAAAAATAAATGAGATCTGCAAATTGTGATCAACGCTTTTCAGAGCTGATAACACCCGCTGTCTGTGTGCAGCACCGAGTCCCCCCTCCCGGCACGCAGCAGCCAAATATAAACAAACGCGTCTGCCGAACGTTTACTCTGTAATGTAAACTTTAACTCCTGCAGCAAAAAATGCGCCATAGAGGAAACTTGTTATAATACGTCAACATGGTGGATTTACTAGAAGCTTTAAAGAACAAACTCTGTATGGTGTGAGGTGAGCTTGTCTCACTGCAGAAACAAAAACACACACGGAGCGTCAGCAGTCAGACACAGCCGCGTGAGCGTCAGAAGGCTGAACAATAACCTGTAGAATAAATAGTCATCATGCTAGAGAAGCTTCTCTGTGGTGGACCACACCAGCTTCTGCCACAATAAATAATTATAATAATAATGAATAACATTTTTTATTTTCGAACTAGTTCTGTTGAGAGATTTAATGTTTAAAACCTGTTAGATTGTTAGTGACAGCAGCTAAGTTAAAGTTTCACTTTCTGTTCTGACTGAACGGCTGCAACAGCAGATAGGAAAACAGCTGGACGTTTTGCTGATATGTTGGAGACATTTAGCCTCTCATTCCAGAGGCTTCTTCCAGACTTTAGTTGTGGTCAGAAACAAACTGGTTGTGCTGCAAGTCTTTTTCTTTTTTTCTCCAAAACATGTTTTTGTCTAAATGAAGGTGATGTTGTTGTTCACAGAATAAAAATTAAAAAGTTGAAGTTAAGATTATTTCATCAAATAGGACCTGTGGTTAGCTGGCTCATGTAAAACATGTCATGTCTTGAAAGAATCGGAATCGGGAATCGATAGGAACCGGAATCGAAACAAGGAATTAGAATTGGAATCGGAATCATCCAAAATCAAACGATGCCCAACCCTATTGTTCATTCAACCATATGATTAATTAACTTATAAGTTGTAAAGCCTTGTAAGATTCGTGTAGGTTCACTTTTATTCCGAGTGAAGAATCCAGCAGTCTGACTTTTAGCAGAGAGATGAGGCTTTTGCGGGAGACCTTGACAGTTTATTTATGTCTGTGTTGAAGAACAATAAGTGAGCAAAAGTAGGGCTGTAGCGAAGCCTCGACTACGTCGATGGCTCGATTCTAAAAATTTGTCGACGTCAGATCCGGAAGTCGACGCACCGCGCCCACTTGTTGCATCCCCAGGAGTTTGTAAATAGAGGAGGAATCTGCCTGTTTTTCCTCTAGTTCGCCCTCTTCTCCGCCTTCACTAACATCTCCGCCAAATACCGAAGACCCGGAACAATGTCCGTCCACTACTAGATTATTTTCCTGTTTTGCCCGCCTTCGTCTCCCGGCAACGGACAACAACTTCCGGGGTCAGATGCGCTGCTTCGTCTCTATCGCAGATGTAGAAAACCACCGGGAGCGTTTCTCCCTTCATAAAGGAGCTTCTTTCAGACATGAGGAGAGCTGTTTTGGTGGTAGCAGTCTCTCCTCTGTGCTGGTCTGTTTGCTGCTGGGTGTTTTGGTTTATTTAAACTTGGTAACTTGAACTTAACGTTGGTAAAGCTACTGTTAGCATCTTCGCTAACAGCTTCTTGCGTTGGGATAAGCTGTTACGTTTTGGTTTAGAGTTCATCTTTTTTGTGGTGTAGATCTCCCTTTTATTACATTTAGAGTGTTGTGGGTTTTCGGTTTAGTGTAAAATATCACCTTGAGTTTGGTTTAACCCGTAAGACCACTCGCCTCACGCACATAAGTGACCAAAACAAAGCAGCGTGGAGACACTCCATCTTCTACCACCTCTCAGGCAGCAGCCTGCACTCCCAAGTTGTACACGTCACCAGAACATAACCAACCGCAACACAATAAAAGCAGTGTTATACAAAATGGAAGGACTGTAGTGTTTATTCTCTTACAGTAACAATTTATCAATTTTTTTGAGGAATTTATTTGAGATTTTCTGGTTTTTGTTAATTGTGCAATAGAAAAATAATCATTAGATTAATTTTCTAAATAGTCATTAGAATAGTCGACTATTCGATAAAATAATCGTCAGAATAATCGTTTTAAAAATAATCGTTTACCCCCAGCCCTAAGCAAAAGGTTGATTTGTGCATCTTGATCCTCCAGCTGGTGTAACCTTGACTTTACAGCTCTGGCTTGTATGAAAGGTTATGCTGTGTCAATTTGATGGTGAAAATTGACCGTTTTGATTCATTACACAGAGCAGTAAGCGGTCAGTTGATGTTAGAGACCACTCTGGCACATATGGTGTAAGGAGTTCTGACAGATGCAGGGGTGCTAGGCCATTTAACGCCTTTTGGACAAATAAAATGTTAAAACAAACCCTAAAAGTCACAGGTAACCAGTGTGAATGTGCCAAAACTGGGGTAATGTGACAGCGTCTGTTTGTGTTTGGTAAAAACCTATCTGCAGCATTGTGCACAGGAGCACCAATGAGTAGTGAGTTCGCATAATCCAGGCGAGAAGTTAAATAAGTGTGTATCATGGACGCCAAATAGGGATGTTTCAGTACTGGTTTGAGGCGTATGAGGTAGCGCAGTTGGAAGAAACATGATTTAACAACTGTGCAAATCTGCAGTACCATTGGAAAATCTTAATCTTAATTCTTGTGTTTTTTTAATCTCTGGGGCCACCATAAATATGGGCAGTTGACTTAGCCTTGTCTTATTTTATATCTGTAAAGATGATGAAATGTTAGATTTTTATTATTCAAATATTTAGTGTAAATCTCCTTGTTAGATGTGCAACTGATTACACATTCTTACTCTGCTGTGTTGGGCTCTCTTGTCCAGTCTGCGATGGACATCCCTGGCCTGAACCTGAGCCAGCAGGAGTATTACCCCTACGTCTACTACAAGATTGACTGCAACCTGTTGGACTTCAAGGTTTAGTTATGCTCCCTCTGTCCACCCTCTTGCTGAGTGTTGATAACATTTTTCCTGGATCTTCTCTCTCCAGCTGCTGCATGTTCATTTCTTGTGATGAAAAGCTTCTGCCACCTTTACAATCAGGAAACAAGAAATAATTTTTTCTTTGTGATTTTGTTTCAAGTGTATATAAATTATTTAGCAGGATAAGTGATTAGCTGTTTTTTGTTTTGAAGTCAAGAAAGACATAATACAGATCTGTATATTTACCATGTCATTCCACATGTGCTGGTGTGTATTTATAGCATCACCTGTTTTGATGCTCAGATATTTGCGTTGCAGGTGGGAACTTTCAGCACCGTTCCCATGGTAACCAACCCTGCTATGTGTTTCAGAGACTGGATAAGTCTCGCAGATGTTGTAAATGTTATCAGTGTATGTTGTTTAATGTTGTCTCTGCTGTCAAAAAGATCTATATCTGAGTATTGTAAAAGCCACTGATTGAATAAATGTAATTTAAATCATTTTACATGTGAGTTTATATTTGAATGAAAACGACTTGCTTTGTATCAAACCCTGATGTGCAGGCACAAGGTATTGCAGGGATCTCAAATTAAATTTAATTACTTATTCAAAACTTAACGACTTAAAAAAAATTGACTATGACATTGCACCTGTAAGGAAGTCATATTTTGTGATTTGAACAGAAATAAATTAATTTAGCTAATAAAGACCAAGTTTTGTGAGAAACAATTTTGTACATGTCTGAAATGGGAACAGTCACTTGAGTTTCACACATAAGCTAACCGAAAATAGTCCATAATCCCTATATATATTTCCTATGCATCCTATATATATTATTTCCTCCACATTTGAGTAGAGGGTGTGTCCATATTCGTCCACAACGCAATTATCCTTCTGGCTTGCAAAAGTCCAAAGTCGATAAGCACTGTCTGTCTGAGTTACAGAAAGGTTTTCCAGGTATATGCCCAGTATACAAAGCTTAGCACACAATGGAACTGTCTTTCCAACTATAACACTTACACGTCCAGTTGCATTCCTCCAAAAGTATTGTATCTTTATGCATTCTCATAGGCAATGGATTAAACTACCTTCATCCATTCTGCATTTTACACAGACATAGTAGGGAATATATGGTTTAGCCTGTTAAGTGTAAGATATGTGTGCATCAGCCATTTATATTGTAGCAACCTAGACATAATATTGATAGATTGAGTCTTCATTTCCTAGATGAAATCAATAAGCAGCCGTGTTCCCTCGGCACCTTCTCGGAGATCAAACAAGCAAATTCTTTCTCCTACACCGATTCTCCAAGTAATCGGTCTTCATCTCCTGGTAAGTCGGCCGTTTAACAGTGGAGGCCAGTTCTCTGTGTTGATCCACGTTGGTCTCATAAAGGTACTTTATCATACTGTTAGAATCGTGCTCTGGTGAAAGAGCGATATTCATCATATAATCATTGTTCTTTTGACTTCTGATGTTATATTTATGTTTGGACAATCACTGTCGTTACTTTGTTTTCTCCACCTTGGGTATTTAATTGACATTCTTTCCATAATACCAGTCAAGGATCATATTTATTTTATCTGTATTAAAATGCCTCTTCTTTCCTCATATTCCTTATTCTTTGTAAATCCCATCCAAATAGGTTGCTTAAGGTTAGAGTAAAGGTGAGGAAAGGGCTTAAACTAGGTAAGGCCAAATTGCCATGGTTAAGTTTAGAGTAAAGGGAAGGGAATGGGTTGAATCGTTTTGAAGAGGGCCCAATGATTCATAGTGTGAGTCAGATTTGTGGTAATTTAATGTTATATTTCAGTTTCCATTGGTGTTCTTCCAAGATTTGGAGTGTAGTATAGGTCCAGTTTGATGCATTGCCTTCTATGAGGTGGGCTGTTTCCTCTGTTGGGTTGAACGGGTGTGTGGGGCCAAAGTTTCTCCAAACGAAACCCATCCACCACAGGTGATGGAAGAGGACAGACCAGTTGACGCGTGGGGAGAAATAAAATGTTCTTTTATTTTCTTACAGATCCATCTGACTTTTGTTCCCACAGTCAATCAATTCTTTCTGTAAGCTCCAACATAATCTAACCTGCTTCAGCACGGTCCAAAACTGTTTGCCCCTGTCTCCATCCAACACACCTGTGCCCATTTGCACCATGATTAAATAGAGGTGGAGACAGTGACTTGTTCAAAAGTTCAGTGGGTTTGCCTCCCTCTAGTGTCAAAACCAATAACTACACATTCAGTTAAAATGGCTCCCACACACCGGCCCCTAATTGTTCTTGGGCGCAGCAAATAACAATTCCAATTTTATACAAAGAAAGGAGCCATTCTTCCAGTACGACACAACAGCAAACCCATAACAAAAACAAACAAATAAAAACACACTCGAAAAAAGAGGATTATCTTACGCTATATGCTTATCACCAGACCTAACCGTAACTTGCATTTCCTTCACAAAGAAGGCAAAGTTTTGTCACCGGTCTTTCTACAACACTTGTTTTTGTTCGAAGTCGCACGGACCTTACAAGTCCTTTCTTGTCAGGATATACTTCGAGTACCTTTCCTAGAACCCAGGATCCTCGTGGTGCTGTGGGATCCACCATCACCACAATGTCACCAGGTGAGAAACCCTTCCTTTCCTTGTTCCATTTTTGCCTTTCTAGCAGCAATGGCAGGTACTCCCTTGTCCATCTTTTCCTAAATAAATCAGCAAGATACTGAATTTGCTTCCATCTTCTCCGGAGGTAATGGTCGGTCTTTTTAAAGAGTCCAGGTGGAAGAACAGGTTTTCCTTTCAGCAAAATTATGTGGTTTGGTGTAAGTGGTTCCAAATCATTGGGGTCGTCAGATAACTTGGTAATGGGACGGCCATTCAAGATTGCCTCCACTTCACACAACACCGTGTGTAGTCCATCATCGATGACTTGTTGGCGAAGCACTGTGTTTAAGATTCGCTTTATCATTTGAATGACCCGTTCCCAAATGCCCCCATAATGTGACGTAGCGGGAGGGTTAAAAAGCCATTTAATTCCTTTCTGTCCCAACAACTGCTGTAGTTTGGCTTGGTCCATAGAAGCTAATGCTTCGCGAAGTTCTCTTTCTGCTGCAACAAGGTTTGTTCCATTATCTGATCGCATTGTCAAAACTGGTCCTCGTCTACAGACAAATCTCCTTATCGCATTTATGCAAGAATCTGTGTCCAGTGAGAACGCCATTTCAAGGTGAAAAGCACGACTAGCAAAACAAGTGAAAATCACTCCATAACGCTTTACAGTACTGCGTCCTCTTTTAACATCAAATGGTCCAAAGAAATCCACACCAACATTTGTGAAAGGTGGAAGATCAGGACAGGTTCTTTCTGGGGCCAGATCAGCCATCTTTTGCTCTCCCTTTTTTCCTCTGAAGCGCCTACATATGTAGCATCTTCCAATTATTTTTCTTACAGCAGAGCTAGCCTTTGTGATCCAGTATGTTCTTCGTAGAGAGGAAAGCGTATGATTACGCCCTCCATGGCCTAGTGATTCATGAATATGACGCAATATAAGAGTGGCTACATGCTGGTCCTTGGCCAAAATGACAGGATGTTTGACATTCTCTGGCATAGCAGCTTTGTTCAGACATCCTCCAACCCTTAACATCCCATCATCACACACTGGGTCAAGCTTGTAAACCATACTGGTTTTCTTCACATGAGAATGACCAGATGTCAGTGTAGTTACCTCATCTTGAAACCTTTCCCACTGACAGAAACTAATGATTTCTCTCTCTACTTTACAAACATCATCTACATTTAACACTTGTCGTTGTAAAGATGCTTTGACTCTCTGCATTTCCATTGGAATGAGGCAAGGCTTGACATTTGCCAAGCACAGCTCCTTCCTTTTCTTGCAGAGGTTCAAGAGAAGTTCCTTTAATCTGAGAATCCAGGCAACGGCTGTTTTAGCCTTTTCCAACAAGAGTAGTGCGTTATCAGTTTGTTTGTAGCAGAAGGTTCCATAGTGACTGCATTTACTGCCACATTTCTTTTGAGCTCTGGATCGGTTTCAATGTTTAGTTGTGGACTGTGAGAAGGCCATTCCTATTCTGTCCTGTACAAAAAATTTGGGCCTTGCAGCCATTGACTTTTAGCCAAGCCTTCTATCCTTTGGCCTTTTGTGGCCATATCTGCGGGGTTTTGTGTTGGGGTGGGGGTACTGGCATGGTCTGCGTCTCCCTCATGTGTCTCCTTGTGTTCTCCATCTCTCTCTAGGTTCTCCTTATGTGTCTCCTAGTGTGCACATGTGTCCTTGTCTGCATCTTCCTCATGTGTCCCCTGATCTGCAGCCCCTCTAGGTGTTCCCCCTCCCCAGGTATCCCCCCAGGACCTGTGCTCCCGCGGTCTCCCTTAGTCACACCTCTGTAGTTTTTCTTTCTGTAGTTTTTCCTATAGGTTCGGCTTTTCATTTGCTAGTCTCTTTTTAGTGTGTTTCTTTCTCCACTGGTTTTTTAGTTCTCCTCAGATCATTAGTTGTTTATCTTAATCTTGTCTTCAGGTTTTGTTTTAACTCTTAGGTCAAGTTACTCTCCCCTCACTGATTAGTTAATTGATTTCACTAGGTTTCTCTCCCCACACACCTGCAGCTCATCTCCCTCTCATCCTGCCCTAGTGTATTTAACCATGTCTGCGTCTCAGTGTGTTGTGGGTTCATTGTTTTGTGTCAGCCTCGTCTCGTCCACCTCTCTAGCTTTTTGAATCTCTAGGTTTAGTTAATAGGATTTTTGGATTTAGATTTTTGGCGCCCTGCATTCTCTGAATTTATTCCTTAATAAAGGATTTTCACATTTCTTCCACCTCCTGCCTCGTTTATCTGGTTCTGCATCTTGGGTCCTAACTTCTCTCCAAAACCACCTCGTGACAACATGATTTTTTTCTTTTTGGTTTAATGGCCGATTGCATAAACAAACTGTGACTTGAAGTCTCGAGGGATCTTGTGATCTCGCGAATCCAACGAAAAGCACAGTGAGGAAGTTGTGCCGCCATTATTTTAGATTTTGAGTGAAAAAAAGTCCAGGGGTCTCATTTATCAAACCTTGTGTAGAATCCTTACTAAAACCGTACTTAAGCGCAGCAATAAAAGTACTTACGTCAAGGTTTGTGAACTATCAAACATGGAGTACGCACAGCTGCACGCAGTCTCCGCTTCATAAATCAGAAACTATCTAGAAATGTTCTCGGCTGCTTTTTAGTCACATCCCGCCCTCACCACGCCCACTTACTGCCATAAACAGTCAATGCAAAGTGCCTTGTGGATCTCATGCATATACATAAGCCGGCTGTTGCAGCGCTCCACCAATGACAATGGCGACTGTAGATCAAGGCAGCTCAAGGAAGCACAATTTCACAGAAGCAGAAATTGAATCACCTGTGGGTGAGGTGGAAAAATGAAAGGAAGTGCTTTTGCAAAACAAGAGAAAATCCACGGAGTGGGAAAGCGTTGCTGAAGCCGTCAATGTTGGGAATTCTTCAGAGAGATCTGTGGCGGATACAAAAAAAATATCCATTTGATATTCGATCCCCATACTCTCCGGTGAAAGTCACGCACACTAACCAGTCACCCAAACAGAGATCTACCTTGTTGAAGTAAGCCAGGGCGCATCATCAATCGGGCCACAGTGACAGGACACACTGTCACAGACGCATGACATTCTGTCTCAATCTGTCCCCCTGCTGATATTCTGCATTCTGTCCTTCAGGCTGTGTGTGCGCACGTGTGTGTGTATGCCCGCGTGTGTGGGGTCTTGTTCTGTGTGAAAACAAAGCAGTACAAGTGATAACGCTGCGGGATTTCATACCTGGCTCATCTTGAACAAGCCCATTTTTTCGTTCTTCAGGGACCCATAACCCTTCCCGGCCCAAGACTTGTGCCCGGCCGGAACACGCCAGATGCGGATGCGCAATGAAACGGTGCAAAGCATCATGGAACGATGAGTGCTTCTAATCGGCGCCCTTGTTAACCTACGCTCTCGGTCACATCAGCTGTGAAGCGCCGCGAAGTGCCACGAAGGCTCGTGCCGTGCAGCGATCGTTTCAGCGTGAGCTCTATTTTTTCGTGAACTGTCAGTGAGTCGAGTCAATTCTGGCAGGAAGTCAAACCAAAGCAGGCTGGTAAATTTAACAAAATAAAAGAACAATGTCTGAATAAAACGCTGCGATTGATATATGTGATCATTTTTGTGTATCTAAACAGACTAGAGAGATGAAAATGAACACACACACACACACACACACACACACACACACACGCACACGCGCGCGCACACACACACGCACACGCGCACACACACACACGCACGCACGCACACACACGCACACACACACAGCAAGGGGTGGGGGGTTCTGAAAACAGTAGGCGTGAGCAAAAGCGCTCCTTGAAAATTCTCGCCTGTTGTGAACGGGGAGCGAACAGTACACGAATGAGCAATCTTCTCTGCGCTTCTCAGCTGGTGTGTTCCGGGCATTAGGTTTTGAGCTGACGTTTTAGGGAAAATTTTAGGGAGAATTTTGAGTTTTCTAAGTAATGCATCAAATACAACATTAATGGGCACTCACTTAGTTATCAGCCAAAACAAGTTGATTTTAGATAATCTAATGGATATATAACGGAGCCAAAGGATATAAAGTCAGTGCAACAGTGTGACATACAACAAGTTCACAGTTGACGTTTTTCGGGCTTTTTTAAAATAAAGGAAACCTTATTTATGTCTCACTCTATTCTCTCCTCCAAAACACACCCCATCTAGCTTAATGTTCAATTTGTGTAGTGAGTCCTCCTGTCAGAACCATCTTTGCTGAATTCCTGGCTTTTATTTAAAGTATAAAAAGCGCCTCTTTTATTGACATCACATCATACTACTATAGTGTTTCGCGGCTGTCCAATCAGCGGCCGACAGGAGGGCCTGTGCCGGTGCGTCTAACCAATTAGCGCATAGCGTGAGCTCTGCTCACAGTTACGTCACTTTTGAATGGTTGTTTGGTCGGAGGGGCAGGCGGCGCGTGAAGAAGGAATGAAGCCTGTCTTGTCAGTTTAAGTCATTCATCTGCGTCCCTACAGCTGTTTTTACAAATAAGCTAAAGTTAGACACGAAGTAATTAATCGCATCATTACGGAGTTTAAAAGGTCGAGAAACGAACCTCTGCTGTTTTCATATTATTTTTAAAGTCATCTTTAAACGATGTGGACGTTCCTGGGAGTCGCGACCTTCACATTTATTTACAAAAAGTTGGACCTGTTTCAGGCTCTGGTTCGTAAGGAGTTGCTCCTGTCAGCTATCTTGTTTATTGCAGCCGGACTGCTGCTTTCGTACGTGAGGTTTTTTCATGGACACAAACGCTCAGTGTATCGTGTTGTCAGTTTACCTTTAAGGTTTTTTACTTTCTTACCTCTAGTCAAACATTTAGTTCCTCAAACAGAAACACAGAACAACAGGAAGGCAGAGAACAGCAAAAAGGTGAGAACAAAAATAGAAGCGAAGAAAATGTGAAAATTTTGACTTTTTTGTGTGTTTCATTCTTGTAAAGTTTGAGTCTCAGTGTTCTTTATACTATATGTGCAGAATAAGAGAAGAGGAGCAGCAGATTCCCATGCATCTGAGCATGGCTCTCCCCGTGGCCCCTCAAAGGACCCAGGGCCAGATGTGGTGATAGTTGGGGCCGGGGTCCTCGGTTCTGCCATGGCTGCTGTTCTGGCTCGGGATGGGAGGAGGGTGACGGTGGTGGAACGGGACCTGAAAGAGCCCGACAGAATAGTCGGAGAGCTGCTGCAGCCAGGAGGGGTCAAAGCTCTTGGGGAGTTGGGATTGGAAGGTTGGCTCTGACTGGCGGACTGTCACACAAAAACCGCATGAAAAAGCGGAAAACTTAGAGGAAATAACTGAATATAAAACATACAGTTAAGAGAACAGAGAGACATGAAACAGAGTCCGTTATAAGAAACTGCCTTACATGGCTTGTGCAGAATGTGTGATAAAGTATTCATGAAGGGTGTGTGTTGTGTTATTCTAACACATTGATGTTGTGTTTGGCACCAGGTTCAGTGGAGGGTCTAGATGCTCATCAGGTGAATGGCTATGTGATCCACGACGTAGAAAGCCACACAGCGGTAGAGATCCCCTACCCTCAGGTGAAGGGCAGCATCCAGACAGGATGTGCCTTCCATCATGGTCGCTTCATAATGGGCCTGAGGCAAGCAGCCAAAACAGAGCCAAAGTAAGAACCACCATGTTGTGAAAAATAAGACAGATACGAGTTCCTCTGTAAGAGCAGACCTGTTCAGGTGATGTTTCGCTCTAATTGCGCCCCCTAGTGTCACGTTCATAGAAGGCACTGTGACCAGTTTGCAGGAGGAGAATGGCCGTGTAACTGGAGTCCAGTATTTGGATAAAAACACTGGAAACATCAAGGTGAGTGGGAGGAGGACTCTGTCTGCAGTCAGTTTCACCTAACAGAGTGGGGGAGGGTTTCAATGTTCATAATGCTAGTAACTGGGTGACTCCTGCTGGTGTCTCTGTGTACAACAGGAGATCCACGCAGCTCTGACTGTGGTGGCTGACGGCTGCTTCTCCAAATTCAGAAAGAATCTGGTCACTGGGAAAGCTCGCATCTCCTCTCATTTTGTTGGATTCCTCATGACGGTAAGCAGGGCAGAAACAAGTAGTCAGCCCAGTTTTACTTATCAGCACATAAGAAGCATATATGAAAATATTGATAATACTGGTGTTAAGACGCAAACTATTGATAAAGAGGGAACTATGGTGCCCTGGTATCTGTCTGTGGTGGCAGTCTGGCACAGCATGAACTTGCATGGTTCAACAAGGCTTTTGGCTTTGCCTACATCAAATGTAGACATTGTGTGTTCTTTTGAAGATAAGCAGTAACTATTCAGTGAGAATGCATTTGCTAAAAGGAACTTAAAAAGACATATCAGACAGAATAATGAAATAGAAAAGGCAGATACAGATGAGATCAACAGAAGGAGCAAATTAGTGGAATTCCCATGCCTAGTGAATTAGACCTTATATGTGTATATATATATATAGCATATATGTGTATATATATGTGTGTATATATATATATATATATATATATATATATATATATATATATATATATATAGCATATATGTGTGTGTATATATATAGCATATATGTGTGTATATATATAGCATATATGTGTGTGTATATATATAGCATATATGTGAATATATATATATATATATATACTGTATATATATATGTAGCATATATATATATATATATATATATATATATATATATGCTATATATAGCATGTATATGTATATATATATATATATATATATATATATATATATATATATATATATATGCTATATATGTATATATATATGTGTATATATATGTATATATATATGTGTATATATATGTATATATAAATATATGTGCTATATATAAACATACATATATATATATATATATATATATATGTATGTTTATATATAGCACATATATTTATATATACATATATATACACATATATATACATATATAGCATATATATATATATACATATATAGCATATATATATATATATATATATATATATATATATATATATATATATATATATATATATATATATATATATATGCTATATATGTATATGCTATATATGTATATATATATGTGTATATATATGTATATATAAATATATGTGCTATATATAAACATACATACATATATATATATATATATATATATATATATATAATATATATATATATATATAATATATATATATATATATATATATATATATATATATATATATATATATATATATATATATATATATACACACAGACACAGTCCATTGCCCAGCGCAGCCACTCCCGATAGGACACGCGCTCCATGAAGGTCTGCATTTTGCGCTAAAGGTGCATCACTGCCGTGAGACGCACAGCGCATTCACCCCTGTAAGCACAGACAGAGGAGACACAAAAAGAGACGAGTTATCCAACACTGTGCACGTTCCCGCAATGACAGCAGCAGCACCTAAACAGCCAGTGGTTCAATGGTTAAATGCTCCGACAGGCAGGAGGATTGAGCTGGACATATATCCAAACAGAAATATAGATCATTAGCAAACTCCGAGCAGGTTGGAGGAGACTGATCGCTGCTGCTCTTGGGAACGACCCTCGGGTGAAAAAGATACATCCTGAAGTTCATTAAGGTTCTGGACATTGTGGGGCTGTGTTGGATGACATGGCTCTCTCTCGCATTGTGTGGGACAGTCCCCCATTTTCATCACTTTTCTCACGTCCCGCAAATTGAGACTCATGTCCCGCATTATTAACAGTCTCCCAATTCTAGTTTCAATCTTGCGTGAACTGTGCGGAGAAAGCTGCTATCAATCGAACTAGGAGGCGGGACTTTACCGCAGGTCCCAAGCGCTTGGAGCGCCCACCCGATCCACCAAAGCAGAAGCGTCACTCAGCTTGGAAGACAGGTGAGCACGGAGGAGAAAATGGTGCTAAAATAAACTCCTGGGCTAAACGTGTTCAGGGAGATTCTGACAGAGTGAGGAGTCTGATGTGATACGAAGCATAAAATCAGAGTCCCATAAAACAAGTTGGTCAGAAGCAGGTTTCCCAGTAATTAAGACAGGTCCATTCTAACACAGACAAGGTGCTGTGCTTGTTGTTTCAGATGCAAACAAGTTAAACTCTTTTAGAGCACATGGAAGAAACCCTGAAAGAATTAAATGGAAGCCTTCATTAATTATTCTCAGAACTTTGAAGACTAGAGGAACTATCACTAGATTAGATGGGTTGTTTTTCCCAGAGATTCAAGTCAGTGAAGTTTTTTTTCTCCCCTAAATATCTACTATAATAGATTTGCAGTCATTTTTGAATAAACACAATTTAGTTTCTAAATTAAGAATGAAAAAATAGCAACAAAACGTATGGATATTTTTTTCAATGGGATGCTTATTGTAGTGTAAAATTTATTAAAATCTAGCTTAAATAGATCTAAAAATGTTACTTTTACTGTCATTCTGTTGTGGAAAATATTCAATTAAAACTCTGAAAAGCTGCTTAAACCTGCATTTTCTATTGTACACCTGTCTATATTTATAGAATCTGCTGACGGTTTAAAGTAATTTTAATTAAAGTTATTCAGAGCCACTGTACAAGTCCAAAGAGCCTGAGTTAAGCTGTGGTAACTGGAGAGGAGCGGTAAAATAGTCTGAAAGCTTTTCTGTTAGCCTGTTCAAGTTGAATCAATCAATCAATCAATCAATCAATCAATCAATCAATCAATCAATCAATCAATCAATAAATCAATCAATCAATCAATCAATCAATCAATCAATCAAAACTTTATTAATCCCAGAGGGAAATTAGAGTTTCAGTACACACAATTCAGAGATCAGACATACATGGGCAAGACACATGAGAAGAATTGGTGACTGTGGTCCTTCGCAACATGAGTCGCGCTACCTTAATAGATGAAAAGGCCAACTGTAGCCACAGGTGGGAGGGAGATCTTGGTAGGAGTGCAGAGCACGTTGATTCCTGCAGGCTGATGACCTTGCTAGGCAGAAGTCCACAATCCAAAGGCGGGGGGGTGGAGGGTGGGGTGGGGGGGGTGGGGGGTCGGGTTTTCACAGCATCTGTCTGCATTCCTTCCTTCGTGGGGGTTGTTGTTAGCAGCTTGAAGGCTGCCTTGGCGTCAGATTTGGATAACAAGACTTTGGGTCAGGCAGAGATAATTTTCCTCTCTGCCTTCAGTCTGTAACCGATCATTCAAATCCTCCAGTGAAGCCAATTTAGGTTTTAAACATCTCCACATCGTCCTGTAACCCTCTCCGAGATGACATCCATTTTGCGCACTAATACGGTAACGCAGCTAGGACATTGTCCAGCTTACGGTTCACCTCGAGTAACGTCCCAGTCTGTGAGGCATCTGCCCGGGCGGTGCTTTCCGTGGGTGCGGGTCGCCCTCCATTCGCTCCCGTCTTCCCAAATTTCCAGAAAACCAGATATCCTCCCACTCCAATCAGAAGAAATCCAGTGATCATCAGGCCAAATATCCACATATCTTCGACATCCTCAATGGACAACTGAGAGAGGCATACGATCCTCCACTCCCTCCAGGAATCAAGCATATATCCCACTGCGTGTGTCCCTTGAGGGCAAGTGGGAGCCCCCTCCTCCATTCTCATCGTAGAAAAAATCTTATCAATCGCATTGAATGACCAGTTAATTAAGTCCATTTCCAAAAATAGGAATTTTCAGAAGAAATGCAGAGAAGCGCTCTGTAGGCAGACAGGACAAAGAGCCTTGGGAAAAAAAAGATAAGGGAGCAAAAGCAGAAACGTCTGTACTCTGCGAGTGCCGGAACACAGTGACCTCAAATAACATGTATAGAACATTAAACATATTATGATGATGATAGTAATAATTGTATGTATATTTAACAGTGACTTCATAGCTAAAAGGCAGAATAGATTTTCTTTAGTGCTGCATTAGAATTTTACGTTGTCCCACATTGAGAAGTCTCTGCCCCACATTTTGCGAGTTTGGATCTGGTCATCCTAGTTCCCGGTGACCGTTAGATTCCACCAAGGCTGGCCTTGGTCACTGATTATGTCATAACTTTTATGGACAAGATTTCTAGGCGCAGACAAGGAGTTGAGGGGATCCATTTTGGCCATCTGTTTGGCCTGTCATTTTTGCAGATGATGTGGTCCTGTTGGCTTCATCAGGGGGCTCAGAGTAAATCCACTGCTCCTTCACATCGAGAGGAGCCAGTTTGACTTGGGCATCCGAGTAGCATGCCTCCTGGGAGTGTCCTTGGTGAGTTTTTCTGGGAACATTCAACTGGGAGGAGAACCCAGTGAAGAGCCAGGACACACTTGAACAAGTATGTTCCCTGGCCAAGGAACACCTTGACATCCTCCCACATGTAGGTGGAGGGAGACTATTGACTTACTCACTGGGGTAGACCCCAACATACTGGCACCAAGATGGGGGTCAAGCAGGAGTTTGCCCACCCCTGGATTGCGCCTCTCAGTTAGGGAAACTCCAGAGAGGTAGAGTGTCCAACCCCTATGAAGGAGATTTGTTCCTGAGCCAGAGCCATGAATCGAGGTGAGACCGATTATATCAAGTTGGAATCTCTTAACCTCATACACCATGTCACACTCTTTCCCCACGAGAGGGGTGATATGCCACGTACCAAGACCCAGCTTCTGATGGACATTGAGGGAATTGGGGGGGGGCTGTCAGTCACTTCTTCTGCGCCACAGCTCTCCTGATCTGATCTGAGATAATTTAACCTAAATGAGATTAGAATGTGCTTCAATATCATTTAAGCTACTGTTGGTCCCCACAGGACTGCTCCCAGTTTAAGGTCAACCATGCTGAGCTGGTGCTGGCCAATCCCAGTCCAGTTCTTATCTACCAGATCTCCTCCTCCCACACCAGGGTGCTGGTAGACATCAGGGGAGAGATGCCTCGGGATCTCTCCCAGTACATGGCTGAGAAAATCTACCCCCAATTGCCAGGTAAGCAGCCGACAAAAGACCTTCTGTTTGTGATTGGTGTTGTTTTCTAGATGAGGGATTACAGCTGTAGGATGGAAAAATATTGATTATTAATTCTGAGGTGGTGGAAGGCAGGATGACCTACACTGTACTGAATGCAGGATTTGACATTTATGAAGTTCTATTTAGCTGAAATATCAAAGCCAAAGAATCAGAGCAGCAGCTCCAATAACCCTGATGCAGGTCCCAGTGGATGGCTGGAGTCTGTCAAACTGATACAATAATAAATGGCTGTTACCAGCGTGTTCCTGTAGGTTTTCATTCAAGTTAAAGGCATGCTGTGTTTCCTTTCATTAGAGCATTTAAAGGAGCCTTTCATAGTGGCACTGCAGAATGATCGACTCAGGTCCATGCCTGCTAGCTTCCTCCCTCCATCCCCCGTCAACAAACCAGGTACGCTATTTATATGGACTAATTTCAGGTAGGAAAAAATCTCTGAAAAACTGATTTGTGAAAAATAACTTGGAAAAGTGATTTTTTTGTCAAAATGCTCAATGAAACAATGTAAGACATTGTCTTAATTTTTGTCTAATTATTATGATTTTGTGAGAAAACTTGAAGCAAATGGATGCTCCATCCAAGGCTTTACCCTAAAAAGATACATTAAATACAAAATATCTTCAGGAAATAATTTTACATAACAGGACATCGGCTTTTTGCTGGGAGTAGCAAATAAAATCTGTGAAGATAAATCTTTTGCTGCATCAGTTACTTTCAGTTATAGTGGGATGCGAAAGTTTGGGCAGCCTTGTTAATCTTCATGATTTTTCTGTACAAATCGTTGGTTGTTGCAATGAAAAATCTCAGTTAAATATGTCATATAGGAGACACATACAGGGATATTTGAGAAGTGAAATGAAGTGTAGAAGATTTACATTAAGTGTGCAATAATTGTTTAAACAAAATTAGGTAGGCACATCAATTTAGGCACTGTTGTGATTTTGTTGATTTCAAAACCTTTAGAATTAATTATTGCAATTCAGAATTGGTTTGGTAAGCTCAGTGACCATTGATTTACATACACAGGTGAAACAAATTATGATGAAGAGTATTTAAGGGGCCTAATTGTAAATTTCCCTCTTCTTTGAATATTTTCTGAAGAGTAGCCACATGGGGGTCTCAAAACAACTCTCAAATTACCTGAAAACAAAGATTGTTCACCATCATTTAGGGGCAGGGGTATTCAATTCCGGGCCTGGAGGGCCAGTATCCAGCACATTTTAGTTTTTACTCCCTTTGAACACACCTGATTTTAGAGAAATCACTAAAACATGCTGTATAATAGCCCATAACTGATGATGAATCAATATTAAATCATCAAGTGGACTCATTTGGTGTATTTAAGATCTGAAATAAGGCATTTCAAGAAAAAACGTTTATGTTGATTCATTCATTACTGTAAAGCAGTCAAGACACTATTAAATCACTTTAGATAAAACATTCATTGTAGATAAAACAGAACATGACTGTAATTAACTTGTAAAGTTGGGAGATCATTTATGAGACCAAAATAAGATCTTCTTTAAAGTTAGAAAGAGTCTCGTCTTCTGCAGGAGACTTTTGCCTGCAGAGAATGAAGCAGGAGAGAGATTTTTATGATGGCGTATCCAAATGGCAAGCTTAGGGAAGGTAAATAGGGGACTGTTTTGGTATGAAGAAGCACACAATAATCCAGGCAGATGAAACCGTTTGGACACTTAATGTCTGATGACCTCTGCCCACTGGTAAGTTTGTGTTAGGGTTAGGGTTGTTGGTTGTTGACAAATGTCATAACCTTTGCATTACATGGCCTTTTACTACGCTACACCACAGAGCAGCGCCAAAGACATCATCTAGCTGCAGATGGAGTCACTGTGCATTGTTACTATTTGACACACCCAGGAGATGCTGGATGTGAGAATGATGCAGAGGAAGCCTATTCTCCGCCCACAGTACAAACAGAGCCGCTTGACGTTTGCTAAAGCACATTTGAATAAGCCAGCTTAATTTTGGAATAAGGTGCTGTGGACTGATGAAACTAAAATGGAGTTATGTGGGCACAATAAGGTCCAAATGAATGTATGGTTCTAGTATTTTGTTTTATGCATGGAGGAAAAAGAATACAGCATACCAAGAAAAACACCTGCTACCTACAGTAAAATATGGAGGTGGTTCCATCACGCTGTGGGGCTGTGTGGCCAGTGGGACTGGGCATCTTGTTAAAGTTGAGGGACGCATGGATTCCACTCAATATCAGCAGATTCTTGAGACCAGTGTCCAGGAATCTGTGACAAATCTGAAGCTGCGCCGTGGTAGGATCTTTCAACAAGACAACGACTCTAAACACTGTTCAAAATCTATGAAAGCATTCATGCAGATGAACAAGTAAAAAATTCTGGAATGGCCATCTCAGTGCCCAGACCTGAATATTACTGAAAATCTGTGGTGTGAGTTAAAGAGAGCTGTCCATGCTCAGAAGCCATCACACCTGAATGAACTAAAGATGTTTTGTAAAGAAGAATGGTTCAAAATAACTTCAACCAGAATCCAGACTTTCGTTGGAAGCTATAGAAAGTGTTAAGAGGCTGTTATTTCTGCAAAAGGAGGATCTACTAATTATTGAGTTCATTTCTTTTTTGGGGCCCAAAATCTATGCACCTGCCTAATTTTCTTTAAACAATTATTGCACACATTATATAAATCCTATAAACTTTGTTTCACTTCTCAAATATCACTGCGTGTCTTCTTTTTACTTAATGGAACATTTTTTGTAACAACCGATTTATAGAGGAAAATTATGAATGGTGATTGCTGTTAGCCTCGCCGTTTACCCAGGGCCCACTGCAAGAGGGGGCCCTGAGACAGCCTTGCATAAAATCGTTTTACTGTGTGTTGATATTAGCTCTCAGACTGAAAGCTGCATTCATGTGACATGTTCAGTGTTTAAAACCTTTAGTTTCACCATCAAGATCAATTATAAATTCATTAGTATTATTAGAATTATTACCACAGCCGCCGCCAATAATTTTGTGGACCTTGCCATAAAAACGGGTTCGCTCTGTGTGGATATTTCAGCTCCTTCCCTCCTTCGCTCCTGCATGTGCTTCATTGATATGGGGTGTTACGTACAGGTGTGTTGCCCAGTGGACATTAAAAAAACATTATTATTTTTATTTTCTCTGTAGTTCAACGTATAGTGTTTTAAGAAAAATGCTAAAAAGAAGATCTTGGTTTTAGGTACACTGTAGCGGGATGGCTCAATATCACTGTAAAAGTTTCTCCTGTGTTCACTGGAAGAGATTTTTATTATTGTTCATTCATATTTTTATTCTTTATTATTTTTTACTGTTTTTCACTGTTTTTTTTAACACCAAAACTGTCAAAACAAAGAGTAGACTCACCTCTTACATCAGGAAGAATCCACGCGTTTCGAGCGTCATCCGTTCTTTCATAATCTGTTGTCGAATTGTGATCGGCAGAAGCTTTTCCGGTTCGAGCCTCACTTTTTCTACAGCAGCGGCCCAAAACGATCTCCTAACCCATGGATTTTCTGTTTCCTGAGCACGTGACGTGTGACGTACATGGATGAAGATCGGCTTTAGAGCTGGGATGTTTGTTCTCACGGTATGGGGGCTCGTTCCGACTCCCATACAGTAAAAAATGCAAATGACAACTGTAGTCGTCATTGGCAGTCAACGTTTAAACTGACGACTTTTGTCGTGAATGGCAGTGAATGAGTTAACCGTCTGCAGGTGGTTCAGACAGGTGGCTTCTGACCAAGTCCTCCAAACACACCTACATCACCCCGCTTCTCCAGCTTCACAGGCTACCAGTCAACTCCAGAGTTCATTTCAAGATCCTGGATCTGGGGTCTCATTTATAAAACATTGCAAATAATCCTTACTAAAACCGTACTTAAGCTCAGCAAAAAAATTTACTGACACCAAGTAAGTTTGTGATCTCTAAAAGATGGAGTACGCACAGCTTCACGCAATCTCCGCTGTATATGTTTATGTTTATTCATTTCGCAGACGCTTTTATCCAAAGCGACGTACAAGTTTTTTTGTTTTTTTTTATAACCTATAGGGCATGTTGTGATGTGTGGGGGAAACCGGAGTACCCGGAGGAAACCCACGCATGCATGGGGAGAACACGCAACTCCACGCAGAAAGGCGAGTTTTGAACCTGCGACCTTCGTGCTGCGAGGCAACAGTGCTAACCACTGCTCCACCATGCACACTCTACCTAGACATGTACTCAGGTGTTTCTGGATCACATCCCACCCTCAACACGCCCACTTTCTGCCATAAATGGTCAGTACAAAGTGCCTTGTGGATCTCATGCATATACATAAGAGGCCAAAAAAAAGATGGTTTGCCATCGCCAACATGTGTCTGCCACTGGCGGAGGCCCTAGCAGGTCTGATCCCCCCACCGCTCGCCATTAAGATCTCAGCAGTGCTCGGACCGGTGAGCATGCATGGCATCGTGCTGGAGAATGAGGGAGACACTGACCATGCAGAGGAGAGTGGTAACGCTTAAGCCTTTTATTAATACACATCAAATGTGCCCGTCATTAAAATATAAAAACAAAACCAAATCTCATAGTTTCCCCCAGTGACTCTGGACAAAGTGTCCAACGAGGCATCCCGGGCGGCGACTGAAGATGTGGCTGCAGGGTCAGTCTGTCCCACTAGTGTGCCTCGGGCACACCTGTAATTGGCCGTGTGCTAACTGACGCTGTCCTGCAGGCACAGCGGGACATGATTAGTGTGGTGAGCGAAGTACGAGAAGAACTGCACAGAATACGTGATTTCCTGATTGAAATTTCAGGAACACCTAAAGAAATGGCAAAAAAATTAAAGATGGAAATCATGCCTTCTGTGTTGGTCCTATAATTGACGCATGACATTCTGTCCCATTCCGGCCCCCTGCTGATGTTTCGCATGTCGGGGTGTCCTCCTGCAGCAATCCCGAGGGACAACAGATATCCATAACAACACAGTAAAAAGTCCGACATGTTGTGTAAAAAACTGCTATTTTTAGCACATTTTAAGTCTGACGTGTTGCTACCAGACGCACAGTGTGAGCTGAAACTGAGTGCTACAAATGAAAAAAGTTGCAGTGTCTGCAGAATATATAGAAATACAGACTAAAACGCATAATCTTCGAGAGGCTCCGAGTTCGCTTGCAGAAGTGACATTTGCATGTGAATGTCAGGTGCTGCAGCATCGAGGATGTGGTGTATTGGTTGGCTAAATTCATTTTACAGTATTTACACTGGACTACATTTTCCGCCTTGGTCCCACGTCTTTGACATTTCTTGTCTTTTTTGCACTCCACCGGGTCCATGTTGTCCGCCATGGCTTAAGAGAAAGTTAAGTTACATTCGCTACTCGCGTGTGCATTCAGTGC